TTCCCATTTCCTGTTCCCATTTCCCATTCCCTTTTCCCCACCGTGTTCCTGTTTCCCGTTCCCATTTCCTGTTCCCATTCCCATTTCCTGTTCCCATTTCCCATACCCTGTTCCCATTTCCCATACCCTGTTTCCGGGCTGTTCCCCGTTCCTGTTTCCCATTTCCTGTTCCTGTTTCTCATTTCCTGTTCCCATTTCCCATTCCCTTTTCCCCACCGTGTTCCTGTTTCCCATTCCCGTTTCCTGTTCACCATTTCCCATACCCTGCTTCCGGGCTATTTCCTGTTCCCATTCCCATTTCCTGTTCCCGGGCTATTTCCTGTTCCTGTTTCCCATTTCCTGTTCCCCGTCTCCCATTTCTCGTTTCCATACCCCGCATTCCTGCTTCCCGTTTCCTGTTCCCATGTTTCCGTTCCCTGTTCCCGTTCCCATTTCCTGTTCCCATGTTTCCGTTCCCTGTTCCCGTTCCCATTTCCTGTTCCCATGTTTCCGTTTCCCGTTCCCATTTCCTGTTCCCATGTTTCCGTTCCCTGCTCCTGTTCCCATTTCCTGTTCCCATGTTTCCGTTTCCCATTCCCATTTCCTGTTCCCATGTTTCCGTTCCCGTTCCCGTAGCCCACTCCAGTGTTCCCGTTCCCTTTTCCTGTTCCCATTTCCTGGTTCCCATGTTTCCGTTCCCTGTTCCCATTTCCTGTTCCCATGTTTCCGTTCCCTGTTCCCGTTCCCATTTCCCATTCCCGTGTTCCCGTTCCCATTTCCCACTCCCACGTTTCCGTTCCCTTTTCCCATACCCCATTCCCACGTTCCTGTTCCCTGTTCCCGTACCCCACTCCGGCGTTTCCGTACCCTGCTCCCCTGTTCCCATTCCCTTTTCCCGTACCCCGCTCCGGCGTTTCCGCTCCCGCTGTTTCCATTCCCCATTCCCGTTCCCGTTCCCGTTCCCTGTTCCCATTTCCTGTTTCCATTCCCCATTCCCGTTCCCGTTTCCCGTTCCCGTACCCCGCTCCGGCGTTTCCGCTCCCGCTGTTTCCGTTCCCCATTCCCGTTCCCATTTCCTGTTCCCATTTCCTGTTCCCGTTCCCGTTTCCCGTTCCCGTACCCCGCTCCGGCGTTTCCGCTCCCGCTGTTTCCATTCCCC